TGGGGTGTGGAAGGGGTGGGGTGGGGGGGGGGGGGGGGGGGGGGGGGGGGGGGGGGGGGGGTAAGCGTCTACCCCTAAAATACCCTAGATAGAACCCTGTGAATTGTAATCATCTTGTCAAGATTTAGCACTTCACAAAGGTTTTGAAATTTTTCTGTCAAGGGGGTTGAGAGTCACCTTAAACGTTAAGGCTCAACAATTGTAACGCACAAACAGAGTTTAAAACATGGATCATCGGAGTTTGATTTCTCAGTTAAGCGCTATTTGCAAACGTTAATTTCAGAAAAATTACCCGAGCTTGCTTTATAATAATTGGGCATTTTATTTGTATAAGTCGTAGTAGCATCAACTGAAAAGACTGCTAATTTAGTTATTCTTTTATCTTCTAGAAAATTGGCCCTCAGTGACTCGCTTCTATGTAAAGGGTCTCATGAATTCTGCGGATGAAATCGAGGCAAAGAGGGCTAATTAACATAAATACAAAAGAAATGTTTACATCGATTCAAAAAAGTAAGAATTACTGTAATATGCTAAAAAACTATAAAAGACCACCTTGAAATCAAGAGCTTTCAGGGTCAGGTCTGAACGTGTCGATCACGTGTCCTCTCTTGTTCTGGATTGATTTCAATTCTGACCGAATGGCTGACGCAGTAGGAGGTGAAACGCAACGGGCATGAATGCGGAGTAAACTGAGATTTGCACCCTTCAACCAGAGCCATCACTACTTAAATAGATGCGCGTGCACAGTATAGCTATATGAATAGAGCTGTAAAAAGAAAGCTGATGTCTAAATCGTTTATCTTGTCAGTTTTTTGTTTTTGCAAAAGTGGAAAATAGTTCAAACAATTCTTCTTGCTGTTTACCATATTCATGCAAATCACTGATTCAGCCTTTTAAACTGCATAACGTAACGAAGTGCTAGTATTAGAAATGCGTCATGGCATCCAAGTGCTCGGTGACTCAAGCGAACGAAGGTCTTAGAACCACGTTTATTAGGTATACATTATGGACTCTTGTGCTCCGGATGGGGTCACCAACTTATCGTGGTGAGGCAGTTTGGTAGGGCCACCCATGCCGAAAAAGGTCTAAAAGTAGAGTGACCCCCTGGTCCTCCAGGTTGGGGATCGGGGGTAGAGCTAACGACCCTGCCCCACAAAAAACACTAAGTTTTTACAATAAGCAGAAGTGTTGATTATGAGACAACACTAACTGGTCACGGGAGAGTTGCTGCTGGGGCTGTAATGATGCTCTTGGGACAAAGCCGGGGAGGTGCCCAAGGCCGATAGACCTCTAGCCCCAAAACAACAGACAACCATTGGTTGCTGACCATGGTGAAGGTAACATGGGCTGGGCAGCTTGAGGAATAGGAAGGATAACAAGATACGCCTATTCAAGACTTTAGTTCGACCGGTCCTGCTAAATGGATGTGAAACTTGGAAGATCATCAAGACCGATGATCAGAAGCTAAATAGTTTTCAGGTCCAGTGCCTGAGATGGATACTTCGAATTAGATGGCAGCAGAGAATGACAAACAAAATAGTTGCCTGTTAGTTCACAGACCCTCTAATTTCTCTTCAAAGTCCGTCGAGCACGCGTGATAAAAAATAAAAACAACGTGGAATTTATTGAAAGCCAGCGCAAGGGGATCAATGCTCGCCGATGTTTTCGAAAAGAACGAAAAGAAAAATAAAACAACGTCTGAGTACAGGCTAAAATTTAGTGGTTGAAATGGCAATGACTAAAGATAAGAAGGTGGAACTGGACAGAACACATACCCAAGGTAGAGGATGTGAACGACTGTTTTACTGCATTAGGGTGGACCCCAGAAGGTCGGAGGGTGAGAGAAAGACCAACAATTGTTGAGGAAGAGCGAAAAAAGGCGAGGTGGAAGGGCTGGGAAGTAGCCGGTGGCACGGGGCAGAAAGTGTTGATCAAAAAGCGTGATGGCCTTATGCGCCTACTGGCACGACGAGACTTCGTGATGATGATGACGATTTTAGACTCTTTGGTATTTGGGCTTATACATCTTCGTGAGGAGATTTTGGAAAGCTTATAAATGGGGGTGGGGGGGGTGGGGGGAGCTTATATTTGAGCGGGCTAAAAAGCGCTTCGAAACAAGTTATAGCAGTGCTGATTAAAAAACGCTTTGCATTTACTGGTTTTTAATTAAGTTTCAAAACAGAGGTAAACAGGTCAACGGAGTTGTACCCCAAAAGCTTTTACACAAGGGCACACGATAAAAAGGCAGTTTCCTCAAGGGAAGATAAAAAGAAAGCAAAAACAAATACAATTAGATGGGGCGTTTGTTCCCCTTAGGCTGAATTCAATCCCTCCCCTTACTTAGTTCAGTTAGATTAATTTTACCAGGTATAAGGGTGATTATTTAACAATTAATGAATGAGGCTGAGTAGGATATGAAGACTTATGGAGATCGAGGAGGGTGTTACGGCCTCGACGGATAACACCCTCCGAGATCTCCATAATTCTTCATATGATACGAAAGCCGAATTCATTAATTGTTTTATTATTCATTCAAAATAATTCCTAGTTTAAAAACATAGCTGAAACAAGCTTACCTGCATCGATGTTAAGTTTATCTTCCATAGTTTACGCTTAGGTTTGTCCAGCTCCGCAAATATTCTCCAAATAGCAGATGTCGCCCTCCGAGTTGTCTTCTTGCTGTTTTTGCTATGTTTTTAGCCATTATTTCGCCTAGTTCCGGCTGTAGTTCTTACTGTTGAAACGAGTGAAGTGTCAACCAGTTTAGTTTTTACAACGAAAACAACTCAATCTCGTCCCCAGGTCTTCTCGGTTAACTGTGCATTAATCTGTAGATGGCTGCATTTTTGACGTCATTTCCTCGTTAAACACAAAATTCTTCCAAGTTTGGTCATCAGTAAGTGGTTATGGTGACTTATGCGTGTGCTTTTAGCCAATCAGAATTGGGGAAATACGTTCTTCGGCATATTCGTTTGCGGTCCTTTGCAGTCCTTTGTGGTTTATGTTAATAACTGACAACTAATGAACGAGGCTGAGTATCTTATGAAGAATTATGGGGATCGAGGAGGGTGTTATCCGTCGAGGCCGGATAACACCCTCCGAGATCTCCATAATTCTTCATATGATACAAAGCCGAATTCAATAATTGTTTTATTATTCATTCAAAATAATTCCTAGTTTAAAAATATAGCTTAAACATGCTTACCTCCATCGATGTTAAGTTCATCTTCCATAGTTTACGTTTAGGTTTGTCCAGCTCCGCTATTATTCTCCAAATAGCAAATGTCGCTCTTCGAGTTGTCTTCTTGCTGTTCTTGCCATGTTTTTAGCTATTATTTCGCCTAGTTCTTACTCTTGAAACGAGTGAAATGTCCGCCGTCTTTGTTTTCACAACCAGGTCTTCTCGGTTAACGTATTTAAATTGCCCGTCGGAGGAAATCCCTATTCCTTATAAGGTCGGCTTCTCGGAGATTTCCCCACCACAGTCACCCCTTCTAAGTTGTATGCTCATTTTAAATTTAATATTAATAAACCTATTTATTATCTTTTTTATTCTACTTGTAATTTATTCTGTGTGGCAAAATAATAGAATAAATGAATAAATAAAATAAACGGTGCATTAACCTGCAAGAAGACTGCACTTTTGACGTCATCGGTTCATTAAACGCAAATTCTTCCAAATTTGGTCATCAGAAGCAGGTTATGGTGAATTATGCGTGTGCTTTTGGCCAATCAGAATCGGGGAAATACTTTGAATGGATAATAAACATGATTAAGGCCGTCGGTACTCTAAATTGGACAATACACCTATGAGTTTTGAACAAGCTTTAATACACTCCTGGCGGTTTAACAACCACTTATGGGCGTATGAAAGGCGAAGTTTTTACAACAAAAACACATATAAATAACTTAAAATATCAAAATATATATCCAAGAGCCATAATGGGATATATAACAATAGTTATTAATACAGTGATTTTACTTGAACCGTGAAACAGATAATAACAACTAGTGCAAAATAGCTACAAATAAACAAAAGAAGACAATAGAATTAGTGCATAATAGTGCGTAGTATTCTACAAATGTACTACCTATTTCACGGGTTAAGTAAAATCACTCTAAAAGATACACTTAATTACAATCATGAAGAGCTCATCACATAACATAGATCAAAGGTTTTAAGCCCATTACGCTTGAATTAACTCAGTTCTTTTCAGACGCTGATTTGATTTACAAAAGCTTTTCACAAAATGTTATGTGCACTAAGCTAAGAAGGAATCGGGTTTACCTGGTCGATGTAAAACCTGTGAACTTCACTTAGTTTCATCCGCACCTTTTGTTTTCCTAGGTTCTATTAACTGTGTTGACTTCTTTGCTTTCTGTTGAATTACATCAGCTGTGAGTTTTACATCGAGGATGTGCTCAGGAATCTTAGAGAAAAAAATTAACCTCACTGAAAGCAATAGAGAGGAGAAGTGGTTACGTCACGTTGCCATGGTAGCAAAATTTCTGGATAACAACCGAACCGAAAAAAGTCTTTAAAACTGTTTCAGACTTCATCGATCTTGGTTACTTTCAATTAATTTGTCAAATGCTGGCTACATTTTCTGGGGTTAAATCCGAAAGGACCGTATTTCAGTTAAGAAAAAGCAAAAAAAAACAAAAAAACGTGTTGTGTTCACCTCGTTTATAAAGCGGACGCGTGAAATTAGGAAGTTTCACGTCATCGTGCTACGTCGGCTAAGAAATGTACAAAAAAGCGTGATCCACTTGCAAAGTTCTTGCCTTGCCACCTAAACTTGTTGCTTTTTTGCCGCTCTCGTTACCGTTGCCGTCGCCGTCGCCGTCGTCGTTGTTTAAGCTCCATATTGTTTTGATCCAAAAATTGTGTCACCATAGTGACATGACGTCACACGTCTCCTCTCTATTCTGCAATACCTTTTGTAAATCCAATCACAATATACACTTACGAAGGAAACCAGGTAAACCAGATTTGGCTTCTTTCCGGTAAGTTTATCCTGATGTACGATTTGTCCAAAAAAAAAAATGCAACAAAGATGTCGCTTTCGAGTTAACTTTTTGTTATCGTGACCTCAAGTTGACTCTATCTATCGTACCTTTTCTTTGTTTCTTAGCCTAATTGACAGACAGTCCAAGGTCGTGCGCTGGGTGTACGAGCGAGCGAACGAGCTCGGACCCTCTAAGAATCGCCGGCTACGTGTTTCTTGCGGAAATGATGGCAGCCAATTTCATATACTATACTAAAAGATACGTTACTAAGCAACTAAACACTCAGGAATAAAACCAGTTGCTACTCGTTCACACTTGCTGCCCTGTATATTTATCTGGATGAGAGTCGGGTGAAAATTCTAAGTGCTTCATCTAACTGGGAAGAAATCATGGGACGAACATATTACTACTTCGGTCTAACTATAAAGAGGAAGATTTCTTATTTGATCGCTTATAGCAAAAAATAAACACATCAACATAGAGTAACCAATATATTAACTGACAAATGTTCCACAAATATATATATATATATATTAGTAAATCTTACCATAATACTAAAACAATAAACGATTCTTTAGACAATCTTCTTACACTAAAATCTCCTTCAAGTATTAAAACACACAAAGTTTGAGTTTGGCCGGCACTCAAATACAGGAGCTACTTAGTTAGCTGAAGGAAAAGGTTGTTCTAATTGTCCCAATAATAATATCCTATGAACGATTCAAGTTCTTTATTTTAATTCATAGGACATCAGCTGAATTCGCAAACGATTCCTTGGAATAAGCGGGGGCTCAGTTCCGTGGCAAGATAAACAGCAGCAACGTCAAGAAAAATAAACTATCTGCCTGTCGATCAATTCCTTCATCCACCTGAAACGAAAAATAAAAGGAGAGATGAAAAAGGAAATAAGTCCCAATTATTTACTAACGTTAATGTTAGAATATATTTTTAGCATTGTTTAATAATAAAAGACTGTCACAACAAACAAGAGTTTCGGCTTCGATAGATCGCAGTTTTAACTGAGAAGGGCCTTTACAGAAGTATTGTACTGCAAGCAGCTTAGACCTTGTAATAGAAAAGCTTTTATTCAACTGAGAATAGATCAATAGATGATTAAGGAATGGACCACTTGAAAAGTGGTTAAGGGGCGGGGGGGGGGGTGGTTGCTGGTGGGGAAAAAAACAAAATAAAACTGCAAGGGAAAATGTCCCTCAAAAAAATACATGCAAAGTAAAACCCAAGGGGTGGGAGGGGATGTACCCTCAGCCTGAACTAGAGAAGAGAAGATAACTTTAGAAACCGATTGAAATCGCTTAAAAAAAAGTATATTAAGATATGTCACTTTGCAGCTTATAAACACAGCTGAGTTCTTAGCTCCGACATTCTTGAAGCAGATAATAAAAACTTCAGAGATTTTTTGGGAATAGATCTACATCAGACGTTTTTGAAGCCGTTCAGTAGCAAGTTGCACTGCTTTTCAAGTCTCATTCTCATTAAAAAATGTAGACCTCCAAAAAGGCGTGTGTTCCATGCATTAAACAATCTTTAAACAGACTCTGAGAAGATGGACAAACATGCTTTATGGATCACGCAACGCCCGCTGGGTTACTGGGTTTCGACCGAGAAATCTACCCAGTTTATAAACTGGGCGTGCCTTGAAGCCTTTTGCCCTATACGTGTTGTTTGACTTGTCTTTATCCTCCGCCTGACTCAGTAGCTACCACAGTTCACCGGAGCAAACACGAATGACAGACTGACATATAAGTGTAAAAATAGCTACGCGAAAAGCCTTACTTGTCTCTCAGTATGGCTTTGACTGTGACCGTTCCCTGTTGACCATGCACTTCGCGTTCCACTGCAAAAAACAAATCGCTAGTTATTTCAAGAAAATCAGTGGGATACCGTATTTACCTTACCCCTTAGGGGATTTTTGTCACTACTTTTAGACTGGGGGCTTATTAGAAGTACTGAGGCTCACCTAACTTTTTCTTTTCATGAGGCTACTCATATCAAGTTTTCATTGAAAAAATGGATCTAAAGTTTAGCAATCTCAAACAATGATGTCTGAATTAGAAGCTGGGGGCATATAGGAACGGTGCAATTTCAGTGTCACTTCGACATCTATGATAGCCGGTGGCAAAAGAAAAATATGCACCGGCAAACTTATTTTTGCGAAATATATCCTAAGCACTGTGCAAACGTTCTGTCAAAGGGGTTTTATTTGAATGGTAACATCAAAGGAGTTGAGTGACAATGTGTTTAAAGCAGTGCGACAAGGTCGACGTCCTAGCATCTCTCAGTAAAATTCTTTGCGCGGGTTCATGATGGAAAAAAAAATTGAAAATCTTAAAGCTCATCAGTATTTTTTCGTTGATTGTTGTACCTTCTGGAAATTTTAGTGTAACACTTGCATAATTATCCAACTGAAAAACGTTGATCACGATGGGAACGGGTTAGCCTGCGCAGCAAGCTTTTCCGTTTGGTTTCAAAGCAAAGGAAGACTGAGGGACGGGATTCACGGTTTTGACTGCGCGAAAAATTGACTCTCGTTCCTCGTTCTTTGCTCCAAAACTGCACGGAAACGCTAATGCTACGCGGGCTTGAAACGGGTGAAAGATGATAACGGCGATGATGATAAACGATCAACTTACTATACGACTAGACGAGTTTCAAGTGTATCTTCAGTACACTGACGCACGGGTTGTCCGTTTTCTGTACATTGCGATGCTTCCTACATAAAATCAAATATTAAATAAATCATATATATATATATATATGAAATATCAAACACTTAGGGACGTGAACTGATTTATTTTATTTAGTAATGTTTAATAAATGAGTAGGAACTCAGTGGTTTCTAAATTTAAACACAGGAGCCAATTGAGATGAACTTGACATTTTACTGATTTAAGAAAGTAATAAAAAACATACCGTTAAATACAAAACCGTTGAGTCGTGACATTTACCTTCGGACACATATAAAGACATTTCTTATTTAACGTAAATTTACTTTACCAGTATTTCCTTATAATTATACGAGTTCGTTGTATTGAAAATAAGCTACTTAGCTAGAGTTCTCAAGTAGTTATTTAAATTTCTCAAAACATCATCACACATCTACTTTTTATCCAAAATTACCTAGGCCTGCTTTTTATGGCCAAAAAATTGTGAACGAGGTACTAAGTTTCCCCTATCCCTGACGCTACTAACTGATTCCATGAGCCGTTTAGTTGGCTATCAATTTTCTAATTGTTTTAAAACATCTCATTCTATTTTGTCCCGAATGCCATTATATGAAATTGCTTACGTCAGTGAAATGCTTTTTCCTTTCATTGCTGAATACTTACTTCGACCGGAAACAGCTTTTGGGGGTAGTTTTCAGATTCCTCTGACGTATCATCCGGTTGTAATCTTTGACACAAAAAATAAATGAAAGCTTTATAAGAGAAAAGAAGAAAATAACTATTAACGATTAACTGCAACAACGACGTATGAAAGCCACGCCAAGGGCAGAGGTTACACCCTATTGGGGGAGGGGCGCACTCCCCTATTTGGCCTAAACGGGGCATGGCTGTCAAGTTCTTGACCCTTAAACATGGTATACAATTTCACTATTTAGCTTCCTGAACACAGTGTCTTTTTGGGCCGAAAGCCTTTTTGTTGGTCCAACAAATCTAATTCCATGATAGTAGTTTAAAAAAATGATTAGTTCTGTATGTGAAACGAAATGAGATAAGGTCACGGCTGAAAGGCCTCGCTGGAACACCTCGACCAGATTCCATTGATTGCCCCCCCCCCCCCTGGGGGGGGGGGAAGGCTACACTGCGCCGACCTCCGCTTACCAGCGGTAAGCACGACTGAGGAGGTGAATTCCAAACGTGCGAACCAAAAACAGTGGTTACATCATATTACCGTGTGGTACATGGCGACAATAACCTACCCAGGATCCACCGGTTCCTCTTCTCGATCAGCAGAGTACGCTTTTGGGTCACTATCCTGAGAAAATACGCAAAGAAAGCTAACGATAATTGAAATTTAGGTCTGAGTTACCCAGTATAATTCCTTCTGTGATGATAGTAGGAGAGGTAGCATAATTCAAAAGAAAATCGTTGGCACGCAAACCTTCATAGTTTACCACCACGAATCCAGAGTGTAGGGGTTTTTTCGAGTACTAACACAAGCTACTCTGTCTCAGACTCAAAATAGTACTCACTCACGCCGGGGTAACAAATAAGAGGTTGCACAACCAATATAGAGATCTCCCAAGTTCTTTTTCTCCCTTTGGAGTGAAATCATCCGTTGACAATGAGGGGGAAAATGTTCTAACAGAGTCATGGAGAGCGGCAAGCTGGCTAGAAGCTCGTCGTCCCCACGCGCGAAATCTCTTGACGACGCAAAAGTAACATACAGAATAGGCGTTTTTTTCCCGCGTTTTTCAGGCTTGCACGAAGTGGAGCGCGAGACACGCGTGACGGGGAAAGGCGTGGAAAGAACGATACGTTTTCCGTGTATTCCCCCGCCAAATCACGCCTGTATTGCCGGTTAACACGAAAGAACTTCAAGTGGAATGTTAGATGTATGTTCCTGACCAACTGCACATGTCTACGTTCTTATATCCGACAAAATAAGAAAAATCAGATTCTTCCGCCAGAAAAAGAAAAGTATGGTGTCTTGCTAAAGCTTCCAACAAGGTTCGACTGTACCAAAATTCGGGGACAGAACCTCAAGGATACTCGCACAGACGTAAAAATATGAGGAATGAACGGTGTCTTCAAGAAGTAACAGGCAAGATTTACATAAATCATAAGTATATTCCCTACCGTGTGAAGGTGTCCTGGATCCATCAGGTAATGTTAAAGGGTGAGCTATAATATATGGAGAAAAAGGAATTTGCATTAAAAGAATTGTCGGTAAGGTGATGTAGTGCTGTGAATTGACCACACCTATCTACGACTGTAAGCAAAAAAGGCCATAAGATACACTTGTATTTGTGTTAAGGTTTTACAGGCGACGTAACCAATGAGAGCAGAAGCCTTTCGTCACAGAGAAAGGTATCTGTCCAGGTGGTGCCAGACGTTTGGGACAGATGACACGTGGTATGCAAGGTTGGGGTCTGTCTAGTGTAATGGGGTTCAACTTTTTGTACAGCTGAAGCTAGCCAGTTTTACGGGCAACCGCTTCATATGGAGACTTCTCTTTTACCGACCGTTTCCTTCATCCCTAAGGAAATCCTATAGATCAACTATAAATTCAACCCGCTGTTAAATACTGACACTCCGACTCGTTAATAAGGACATTTTTTTTTTCCTATCAGAACTTTGTAAAAAAACAAAGTTTTCTCGACTTTTTCACGGCCATGAAATGCATCTATTAGTCCCTTTGGCCTTTCTAAAGACCGAAATGACTGATTTCCCTACCATTTCATGTGTAGTTCAACTAGTGAAATCCCTACCCTTTCACATACCTGAGGTCCTAAAAAAAGGTGCCCTTTCGGGCGGAGCATTCCCGTATAGGCCATTATAAAGACTCACCCCTCAGCCCCAGGGAAACAGAGTTGCATGTTCAATCAAATAGTCCTCATGTGTGGTTTATTCTGGTTAGTATTTTCCAACAAATTGAATAAATATGTGATACTCAATATGTAATTTTAAAACCTCTCTACTCATTTTTGGTGCAAGTACGTGACGTTGGAGTAAAAAGGTGGCTGATAAGTATGAGCCAAGTTACGAGACGTATTAATGGTAATTTGCCATTCAAAGTGGTGATAATAAAAGTTGATTGCTCAAATCGTGTCACAATAGATCTACCAAGTTTTAAAACCTGAGTTTGTTACTGTATTTTCCTACAGCGTTGCTTTTAATAATAGTTAAGATCGGATCGCATTTCACCTATAAATAATATGAAAGTATTTGGCCCTTGGACAGATTTTTGAAATTCTTTACTCGTTATTGCTATTTTTTATATATATCGAAAGCGTTCTTCGGCTCTGCTTTTAAAATCTCCTTCAAAAACCTCAGTGACTTCCGGTTTCCCTTTTCTCAGGCAGAGAAGCACCCTGTATGGTGAACTGTCATTGGATTCACGATTCAGTAGATTAAAGACCAAAGCAATGCCCATACCCTGACAGACAATACGAAAGGAGCTGCATTAAACATCATCGGGCTTCTGCATGCCACAAACAATATTGTCTCCCCAAAATTTATGTTAACTCCCGGGCTTGGGAGGGACGTATACCGGAAGTTACTTGAGGTGGTGTACAGCTTAGGCAAATTTTAGTAGGGAGCTACGATGATGGCAACGACAACGGCCAAAAACGCAATAAGCTTAGATTAGCAAAACAACAACTTTGCAAGTGCATCACACTTTTTTGTACATTTCTTTGCCGTCCTCCGGCGTGATATGAGCAAAGTTTGGGGAACGGCAAGGCGATAAATTTAAGCGCGGTCCCAGCTCGTCAGTTCCAAAAGAACAACTAGTTTGAACTTAATTTCCCTACTTTTAGGTAACTGTTTTACTTGGTATAAGGCGGAAAACGTTTTGAAGGTGCAAAGTCGATTTCTCAGCGATGTTCCCATAGGCGTCTCCGTCGTCGGATCGTGACGTCTCTATAAATATCAAGGCTTACCCTATTTGTGACGCCTACCGCGTGACACATACCCTTTGTAAGATTTAAAGAATTGTCTTGCTATGTTTTAGAATAACCTGCGAAGTGACCAGTCCCCTTGGTACTCCTTTTAGACGTTTTCGGTGGCAAAGCTGAAAAAGCTGATAACACTCAAATTGTCAACTGTTCTAGAAAGTTCACGCCGGGACTTCTCCATCAGATTTAGACCTAGAATATGGGTCTGAACCAAACATAGTACTTGCACAACGAGACATATCAATGTTACGGGTTAGAAACATCAACATAACAATCGCTCATTTCCATATAAATAAGAATTCACGAAAACAACTAACAATAACGTGATTTTCGTACTAGTTGTATACTGTAGAGGATTAGTTAGAGCAGCCGAGGTCAGGTCTCTTTTGTTTCGGTGAGGGATACACTTACAGGTTATTTATGTAGAATCCATTTGCAGTTCAAATTAAAAAATAATTTCTTTGTTCGAATCTAAACAACGCAGCCTTGGCCACTACATAACTATAGCATCTAAACTCGGACATTATGTGGAAGAACTACGAGAAAACGTTGAATTTTGGAATTCGACATTTAGTTACCTGAGGTGCCACCGTAAATTTTTTTCAAGACGACAAAGTATCTTGCTTAGCTATATATCACTACTAAGTCTAACATGCTTTGAAAAGGGCAGATTTACATAAACGCTGCGGCTATTTTTAGCCACAGCGATAAATAAAGGCGACAGAAGCACTCGATTACACGCTCAGCTTCGACTGGCAGATTCGTGATGCTCTTTAGACATTGATATATATTTATAGGGTATTACCTACATGAAGTAATTAAGGTAACACAACGTGTTTCGCAACAGTCAAAACAAACAATCACCTCAATAAATAGTTTCTGATTTCTAACGTATGTTTTGATACATCCCTATTTCAAAAATTTAAAATTTAAGTTCCACTCAGCCTGCGCTACACTTGGCTTATTTTTTGGGTGTGCCGAAGTTTCTGCTTGCGTATTTTAAAAACCGCCATGTTGAGTTCCAAAGGAGTCAATAGTCTGTGCGTTGCGTGAAAAATTTTTGTGAACCACAAATTCTGCCCCAAATGTAAGGAAATATGTTATACCTCAGTCAACGTGAAATTTACGAGATATTTTGATCTTTAAATGTCAAGGGATCAGAAAATTACATATTCTGACTGGCATGTCCATGGGAACTTTAGTATAAACACTTGTCTTGGTGCGAGTCTTACTGTTAAAGTAGACTAGACTTTATAGTCAAATGTCTACTTCCCTATACTCGCATGTGTCGCCGAATTTACATTGATGTATTACAATAAACATACTGATCATACATTACCTTGCAGGCGATCACTAAGACACAGCTGTAGCTAACACGTTTGTGTCGAAAACACTCTAAATAGTTGGAGGTAATATCATTATAGACATGCACTCCTATCGATGGACGAAAAGTACGGATAGGTATAGTTTTCATTGTTCAGTATTCTACCAGTCACGTGACTGTCTCAAACAAGGAAGAGCTTTCCTGCACATCAAAATATTGGCTTCACTCTATAACCCAGGGGAAAAAATACGGTGAAGGAGGTTTGAAGTCATTATGAATTTTGTGTTCATTTTAATATCCACTTGAGTTTATCTTTACCAATGTATAAATCAATATCTAGCAGCACTTTTTAAAATAAATCATATCTGATAGTCTTTTTAGAGCTGAAGTTTCTTCCCCTCTGATGTTATAGTAGTACTAACCTGTATGTTTTCAGTTTTTCTACTTCTACGGTAAGTACCTCACGTGAGTAATAATGAATGGCAACAAAAGCTCGCGAAATGTCACGTTACATAAAGTCTATACAACCTTTCCAAACAAACACTTTGGTAGACCACAAAAACATTCTTTGTAATGGTAAATTGGACTTCGTGTGATACAATTCAGATCAATTCAGGGAGTAATCGGGTGAGTAATGAAATTAATCACCTGATTACCCTTCAATCAGTGTACGACACGAAGTCCTGTTACTAATTAATTTTGTCAAAGACAAACAATAAAATGCGAGAATCTCAGTATTGGAATAACGGTATATAGTTCTTACATCGTCCAAAGCGAAACCATCTATCAGAGACTTTTTCAGCAACTGTCTCTTTCTTTACTTTCAAGACTTTCTACAAGTGTTTAACAGCTTGTCAAAGTGTGAACAAAAAATATCTGAATACGAGTCACTGGACCAGTTTATTTCGTCCACTTTTCTTTTCAAATTGAAGCTGGACAGCCTGCTCACTTTTTAAATTTATTTTGATTGGTTATCATGGGCTATGTAGTTAAATCGCATTGGCTAGTAACATTTGCTACTTGATTTTTGTTGAAACNGTAGTACTAACCTGTATGTTTTCAGTTTTTCTACTTCTACGGTAAGTACCTCACGTGAGTAATAATGAATGGCAACAAAAGCTCGCGAAATGTCACGTTACATAAAGTCTATACAACCTTTCCAAACAAACACTTTGGTAGACCACAAAAACATTCTTTGTAATGGTAAATTGGACTTCGTGTGATACAATTCAGATCAATTCAGGGAGTAATCGGGTGAGTAATGAAATTAATCACCTGATTACCCTTCAATCAGTGTACGACACGAAGTCCTGTTACTAATTAATTTTGTCAAAGACAAACAATAAAATGCGAGAATCTCAGTATTGGAATAACGGTATATAGTTCTTACATCGTCCAAAGCGAAACCATCTATCAGAGACTTTTTCAGCAACTGTCTCTTTCTTTACTTTCAAGACTTTCTACAAGTGTTTAACAGCTTGTCAAAGTGTGAACAAAAAATATCTGAATACGAGTCACTGGACCAGTTTATTTCGTCCACTTTTCTTTTCAAATTGAAGCTGGACAGCCTGCTCACTTTTTAAATTTATTTTGATTGGTTATCATGGGCTATGTAGTTAAATCGCATTGGCTAGTAACATTTGCTACTTGATTTTTGTTGAAACGCATTGGTATGTTTTGGTCTTTTACAAAAAAAAACAGTGAAAACGAGGGTGAAGTTTGATGGATAATTATTTCAAACATAATTATTGTCACGCTTGTCACACAAGGTTTGCCGTCTTCTTTATTCTTCTGTCCTATTGCGTATGTTCACTACACACTCACCACACTCACGACCTAAAAACCCTGTCCGCTTTTTACTTTCATGCAAAGCGGACAGT